TGCCTGTTATCCAAAGCAGCAGCGAAGCATATCGAGTAGCTAGGAGCAATATTAGATGCCAAAGAGAGAAAATTGGATGTGCAAGAGATTTGTGTATCCATTTCCCCACATGCTTCTGGTAAAATGTGCAAAGAGGAGAATTTGTGCATCATTTCACTATGCAGTGATATGTGCAATTTCCTTTGCCTGACTTTGCAGCCAATAGCACCTTGGGAGAGGAACCATTTTTGGTGGGAAAACGGTGCGGGGGAAAGGGTTAAATTCTTATTCTTTCTCCTCCTGCTGTTGCAACTGCTTTTCCTGGAAAAAGAGAGGGGCAAGCTCTACGCACTTTTTGAAAAGTGTGCTAACTTAACACAGTTTTGCCTTGAGAATTATTATTGCTTAGGAGAATGCACAGACAAAAACCCTTCGCTCTACCAGCATGCTGCTGCTGCAGCAGCTGAAACCATGCTCTCCTCTCTTCTAAGGCTCACGGAAGGAGAAAACCAGCTTCTGCTCAGGCTAATTCAGCCAATAAGTGGCATAGCTATATTCATCAAGCTAAACTAGAGATGGGGTAGAATTCCATAGGGACTGCATTTTTAAACAAACCTACCTAAGTTGCATCATCTACACAGATCAGAACATTATCCTTTGGATTTTACACTTCTTCAAACGTTATGATGCAGCTCCCAGCTAAGCAAATTAACAAACCACACCAACAAAAATCCCAACACAAAACCACCCATATTTTAGGATAGAGATGACTGGGACGACAGGCTCATGTTTCAACGATGAGATCTAATGACAGGACATGGACATCCACATGGGACTTGAATGTGGATTTGAAACTATTTATAACTGCATCCCTGCCCCTCTGCAGGATGTCTCCCTCATCCATGTGGCATCCAGCACTTTCCCCCACTTCATTCAGAATTTTTCCAGTCTCTGGATAATCTGATAAAAGGAAATAATCCATCTGTTCATTGCTCCACTATGGGTACAGAGAGTCACTTTTGCTCTTTGTGAAGTTGTTCAGCTGTGCAGTGACATTTCTGTCCTGCCATGGACCATCACTTCCATCTCCCTTTCTACCACAGTTTCCAGGCAGATGCCTTTGGGAAGCCCACAAGAAAAGTGGGAAGGCCTTCTCTTGCTGTTTCTCTCCAGCGCCTGGTAATCCACCAGTGGCCTGCTGAATCAGGGGTGGTCTGTATAACACACACAAGGTATGAACACTGTATGTCTGCACTACAGCCTCCTCCAACAGAAACTAAGCCCAGGATCCCTGCCCTAGGACCTTCCTGAGTGGGGGATTTCAAGCAACATTATGACTTTGGTGTAAATAGGTGAAATGGGTGTAGAATTTGTGTTTTATTTGGGCTGCTCATGATGTTTTATAGTTGCATTCCCTGTTATATTTTACACTCATTCACTAAGAGACACTCAAAATTTCTAGAGCCCAACTACTGAAAGAAGTGGATTTTTTTTTACAGCAAATTCTCTTGTCTCAAATATCAAGAGGGGGGAAAAGCCAGCCCAACAACATTGCATGCAGTATTGATCTAGGAAGGAACACACAGAGTCTACGTTAAGAAAATGAAGAAATAAATTAGGAAATAAATCAGTAAACTTGTTCTTTCTGTTTTGACTTATAAAAAACGGCAGGCCTATTTTCTGGGTCTTTTTTTTTTTTTAAAAAAAGATTTGTATCACATAAAGGAATAGCAGCTCATCAGATAAATGTTCTCAGCATGACTTTAACTGATGCTCTTGACCATATGGAGCACGGTCAGCCAACCAAAGAAACATAAGCACGCTCTCTCCACTTTTCAAAATAAAGTCCTAGAAAACCACGTCTTAGAATATTGTAGGCTTGGAATAGGGCAATTAGGCCTACATTCTCAGTGAGGTGGCAAACCAGAGGAGGCTACCCCATATGGGCAAGAGCCCCCCACCCTCCGCCTGCCCTCAGCCAGCCCCCACCCTTGTCTCCTTCCTTACAGGCAGCCCAGGGGGTGGCTCTGCTGGTCAGCTTCCTCCTCCTGAGCCTCACGTGTTGGCCCTGGTAGGACCCAGCCAGGAGGAGGAGCTTGGGGACTAGGACTGGACTGGTTGGCTCTGGCACCACCCACTGTTGGACCCCCTGATTTCCATTCCATCCGCCACAGTGGGTGCCAGCCACTGGGGGCCATAACATGTGACTGAATGATCCTTCATGCAGATATACACATCTCATAGAAAATTAGATGTCCATGAGAAGGATTCTCGACTAATTACACCTCCCCATTCTGGATTTTTAGTCATGTGAGCACCCTAACTAGAGCCTGAAGTTTACACTGTCACTGAGAACTAGACTACGATTTCCCCTAAAGAGATGGTAAATGTAAAGGTACCCCTGACTGTTAGGTCCAGTCGCAGATGATTCTGGGGTTGCGGCGCTCATCTCACTCTATAGGCTAAGGGAGCCGGCGTTTTTCCGCAGACAGTTTGTTCACAGACAGCTGGTCATGTGGCCAGCATGACTAAGCTGCTTCTGGCGAACCAGAGCAGCGCACGGAAACACCGTTTACCTTCCCACCGGAGCAGTACCTATTTATCTACTTGCACTTTGACGTGCTTTCAAACTGCTAGGTGGCCAGGAGCTGGGACCGAGCAATGGGAGCTCACCCCGTCGCAAGAATTCGAACTGCCAACGTTCTGATCGGCAAGCCCTAGGCTCTGTGGTTTAGACCACAGCACCACCCTCGTCCCGCTCCTAAAGAGGTGAGGTCATTTTAATTTCCTGCTGCTTTCTCAAGCTCTTTACTTCCCCTGCAGCGTGAAGGAGCCTGGTCCCAGGTCACCCTGCTCGTGGTCTGAGATGGTCAGCTGTTGCTTTTCTCTGCAGTCTTCCGTGTCTCTGCTAGGGAAGCAGGTGCCAGCTGTTCAGTCTCTCTAGCTGTAGCTCCTGTTTATGGAATATTATCCTCTGAGAATCTCACCTGGCTCCAACACAGCTGTACTTTAGGTGCCAGGCAAAAACCTGCTTAATTGCCCATGTTTTGAAAGCATTTCTTAACTGCTCTTTTCTCCATTGCCTCATTTGTTATTTGTGGTTTCTTGTTTGTTCATTTTTTAAAACCATACATGTCAACCATGCTGGAATCAACATTGGTGAAGGACAGCATAAAAAAAACCTTTTAAACGCATATATGTAAGCTTTATGTGCAATATGTGATTTGGATGTGAAGGTGCTTTCAACAAAGTGGTCTTCTCCCACTTCCCAGATTTTCACAGAAGCATGCAGTGAAGACATGAACTGACCGAGCTTGCAAGACAACCCAGCTCCCATTAGGATTCGGTGATCTGCAGCTGAACTGGGAGTTTCCCAGGCAACACCAGCTTAACTCCCTCATCGTTGGCTCAGCATATTTTCCCCAGCCTGGCTCTGCTAGGACCGAGCTTGTTAACAGAGCAGTCCTAACACAGGAACAGGGGAAAGTGGAGCAGAGGATCCCCCATCACAACCAAAGCCCTGCTGCTGTGTGCACTTTCCCAGAGCAGAATTTGCTGTGCCAGGTACAGACTGCTCCAGAGCTGCTGGGTCTTGCTTTGGATCTTGTCTCTGCTCACTTCTGCCAGCAGGAGCGTTCCAGCTGCCAGCGTGTGCCTGGGGCCTCTGCTGGGCGGGGAGCCCCACCAACTCCCCACACCTGGCAGCACCCCCCTCTGAGAGGCACCTTTGTGCCATCCCACCCCAGTTGTAGCCATTCATATTTGGTTGGGGGTTGGATGCTGGGGGAGCATGTGAAAAGGGGCTACTAAATACAAGAATGGCAAGGTGTGTAATATTTTGAAGAGGAAAAAAGAGGACACATTTGCCGACTGCTACTTTTAACTATGGATCGCTATGACGACTCTACCCATGAAAAGAGGACAAAGAGGCAACCCTGCATATACACTGCAGTTTGCTGTAACCCATCCAGATCCTGACTGTGGAGCAGTACAGAAAGGGAACAAAGAGTAAATGAGGTGAATTTCTAATGCATTTCTGGAGGTATATTGAATTTTTGAAATGCATGTGGGACCTACAGTAGGTTAGTTATATCTTTACCTGGATAACTCCCCACTCCCCCAAAAAACATTTCACATATACAGTTGTACCTCGGGTTACAGACGCTTCAGTTTACAGAGTCTGCTAACCCAGAAATAGTACCTTGGATTAAGAACTTTGCTTCAGGATGAGAACAGAAATCATGCTCTGGTGGCGCGGCTGCAGTGGGAGGCCCTATTAGCTAAAGTGTTGCTTCAGGTTAAGAACAGTTTCAGGTTAAGAATGGACCTCCAGAACGAATTAAGTTCTTTAACCAAGGAAACACTGTATAGCATCCATGCTCTTGCGGGGGTGAGATCATTGCATAGATTCCGCTGAGAAATGTTGTGAGTTTTATTAAAATACCCTTTGTTTCCCTTGAAATTTCTCAGATTTTTTCCCAGGCATGAATCTTAAATTTAACTCCAAATTTAACTTTAGGTAAGCTCAGTCAAAGGGGATGCGGGTGGCGCTGTGGTCTAAACCACTGAGCCTCTTGGGCTTGCCGATCAGAAGGTCACTGGTTTGAATCGCCGTGATGGGGGTGAGCTCCCGTTGCTCTGTCCCAGCTCCTGCCAACTTAGCAGTTTGAAAGCATGCCAAAAACTGCAAGTAGATAAATAGGTACCGCTCCGGTGGGAAGGTAAACGGCATTTCCATACGTTGCTCTGGTTTCGGTGTTCCATTGCGCCAGAAATGGCTTAGTCCTGCTGGCCACATGATCCGGAAAAACTGTCTGCGGACAAACACCGGCTCCCTCGGCCAGTAAAGCGAGATGAGTGCCGCAACCCCAGAGTTGTCTGCAACTGGATTTAACTGTCAGGGGTCCTTTACCTTTACCTTTTAAACTCAGTCAATGCATAAAATGTGTTAACAAGGATTTCCCCACCCCCTGAGAATTTTAGTAGCCTAACTGAAACATTATCTTCTTTCCTATTTTTTTCTGGATTATTTTGCCCAAGGAGAATGTCCACATTTGCCCTTACATATTTCTGTAGATTCAAGAATTCCAGATATTCTTAGAATTATTATCTATTTTATGAAGTGATCTATTTAAGCTGCATCTTAAACACTAGAGAGTAAGCACCACTGAACAAGTGGGATTTACTTCTGAATTAAAATGTGCAGGATGCCCTGCTACAGAATCATAGAGTTGTGGTGATGGAAGTTACCCCGAGGGTCATCTAGTCCAACCCCCTGCTATGCTGTAAATGAATTATTATCAAGAACAAGAATGGCAGCAATTATCCCTATCCTGAGCCCCTTAGATTCAGCAGGACGCAGGCTTGAAGCCTCAGTACATACATGCATACATGTCATAAGAAATTGATGGGGTTTACACAAAGCATTTTTGCTGAAATATTGACAAATGCATATTGCTTGCATCATGAGTCTCTCCTCTTTCTTCTATCAGAATGAAAGTGAAGAGACTTCCTGTCTGTGCTAATTCTTCTTGTCAGCTGGGTTTTTTCTACTGAGTATTTTTTCCTCACAGATGTTGACAATTGCTGAACTGATTCATTTTTTTTCCCTTTTAAATTGTCCCCCCTCCCCGCTTTTTCTGCACTGATTACAGCTGAGCAAGAAAAGGAGCCATAAGGCATCCTCTTAATACATTTAACCACCTGTGCACATAGCTCATCTCAGCTTAGGCAGGGGATCTAGAAAACAGCTCTGTTTCTTTTAAAATGGGCAGGAAAGAAAATGTACCATCACATTGACAAAAGAAGAAGAAGAAGAAGAAGAAGAAGAAGAAGAAGAAGAAGACGACGACGAATGGACATTTTCAACAAAAATATTTCCAAAATAACACTGGAGGGATCGATATAGTACAAGATTCCTGCATTGTGGGTGGTTAAACTAGATGACCCTAATGGTCCCTCCCAATTCTATTCTTCTATGAAGTATACCTCCCAGTGTTTCAGTGCCCTGGCAGCAGGACAGAAGGTGGCAAAAAGGGTGCTGCCGATTCTCAGTTTTTTGGTTGAGAATTATACACAAACATTATATAGGAGGCAGCAACAAAAACCATCTTAAAAAGCAGAGACATCACCTTGCCGACAAAGGTGCGTATAGTTAAAGCTATGGTTTTCCCAGTAGTGATGTATGGAAGTGCGAGCTGGACCATAAGGAAGGCTGATCACTGAAGAATTGATGCTTTTGATGCTGGAGGAGACTCTAGAGAGTCCCATGGACTGCAAGAAGATCAAACCTATCCATTCTGAAGGAAATCAGCCCTGGGTGTTCACTGGAAGGACAGATCCTGAAGCTGAGGTTCCAAGACTTTGGCCACCTCATGAGAAGAGAAGACTCCCTGGAAAAGACCCTGATGTTGGGAAAGATGGAGGGCACAAGGAGAAGGGGATGACAGAGGACGAGATGGTTGGACAGTGTTCTCGAAGCTACCAGCATGAGTTTGAACAAACTGCGGGAGACAGTGGAAGACAGGAGTGCCTGGCGTGCTCTGGTCCATGGGGCCACGAAGAGGCGGACACGACTAAATGACTAAACAACAACAACAAATACACAAACATCTTCAGAGATCATGGCAAATCCTGTGCACTGAATCCTTTGCAACCCAATGTTTCATTAAGTTGAATGGGGTGGGTCACAGGCTGGATCTCAGTTCTGAAAGCTGCCCGGGGAACTGGGGCCGATGTGTTGATTTTCAGTTGCTTGTTATTTCTGTTTACGTAACTTATGTCAGTCCACCATTATCTCTCTGCAAAGCCCAAATGACATGTCCATTCATGTTGCCTTTGTTTTCTTTTTGTCTCTACTCTGGAAATGACCCAATGGCTCAGTTGCAAATGTAAACCAACACCTGATGTTTCCGTGTTGCATGGGTCAACCTTCCCTATTACAGACCTTCCTATTGTCCCTAATTTTCCAGGGACAGTCCTGGATTTACAAAAACTGTCCCAGTTTCTGATTTGATCCCGGAACATACCGCTTTTCCTTAGGACATCCCCACTTTCATTGGAGAAACGGCGCAGGATATGGAGTTATCCAACCCCTTAGCCATCTGAAGACAGCCCTTTATAGGGAAGGTTTTTTTAATGTTTAATGTTTTTGTATATGTTACAAGCTGCCTAGAGCGGCTGGGGCAGCCCAGTCTAATGGATGGGGTATAAATAGTAAAATTGTTATTATGGAATAGGATGGCCCTATTTTCATCAGAGAAATGTTGGAGGGTATGCTATTACTTTGTATAGAAATCAAATATTCATTGCTGAGGCTGATTTCACCAGCAACAATATAAATTTGATTAACAATTCAAAGTTATTTCACCCTTAAAACAGCATTAAGTATTTTTATCATCATTTCCTAAGACTGTGATTCTAAACAAAAACAGACATTTTAAAAGGGACCACCTGGCCTTTGCTTCTCCCTCCCCCTCTTCTCTTATTTCATGCTCTTTTTTTATTGCTTCAGTTTTTCAGTTTTCCATGCCAGCCTCTGCAGCTCACTGTATCTTTTACCTCTGAACTCTCAGCTTGGTGATTTTTATCTGCCAACATAGTTATTTGTTCACATGCGTCATTCCTACCTAAATAAGAGCAAGGCTCAAGAGGAAGGAGTGTGGGTTTGCCTGTTTACTTCAGACATTTATATACTGCTTAATTATTTGCATTTGTAAGTGTACATAAAAACACTCCCTAGTAAATGGGAGAATAAAAAACAGTAACGTAAAACCAAACGCTACCTTAAAATACCTTGGGAACAGGAAAGCCTTAGTCACATTTATAGCTGATATTGCTTAATATTGTATGCGGACGTGACAAGTTGATCACATAGGGGAAATCTTTTTGGAGCTTTAAAGCAGTTATATTGGGGGCTTATTAGGTAGGCAACTCATCCCTGACCTGTAGTCACATATTTTGTTATGAAATTTGGTGGAAACCCATTGTTCAGAAAATGCTGACATATAGATGACAAAACTGGACTTCAGACAATTTATCACTTGAGAGTGATGAGCCAGGACGTTTTTTTTAGATTAGATATTATTGCTGATCCATATAAGTTTAAAAGTAGACTCATTAAGGTTTAGACTCAGTCCTGTCTTTAGGAAAAGCTCAGTTGTAACACTTGGGTAAGACACTTTTATGAACGGCTAGCTCTGGGTTCTTAAAAAGCTTTTGAAATGTGTTTTATTTGTTACCAATACCAGTAATTTGTGCCTTTTTTGCCACCAGTCAAGGCTGATGGAAGGCATTCTGCCCTAGAGAGACCCCCTGAGCCTGAAGCAACAGCAGTGGAGCCTGGAGTTCCCTCAAGCCTCATGCCTGCTCCTTCAGAGCTCCTTCCCTTTGTTGTGGGCTGTTTTGCTAAACATTGAAATGGTCTGAAAAATGTCAGGTATAAAGTGTTCTTAAGTATTGTAATTTGGAAGAGCATTATTGAACTGAGTCTGTTACAAGAATAATCACAGGTGAGAGAGAGTGTTTCAATGCATTGACTTGTTCCAGCTATACTTGCAATATGTAATTATATAAGCTTTTAATGATAATTATGGGGGTAAGCATTCTAGGCTACATGGAGGAAAAAATCACTTTCAAATAAGGCATTCTGTTTCCACTTTGGAATTTGTAACACAGTGCAGTTTCTGAACAAAGCATGTGATCCTGTCTGAAGAGAAATTAAGCTCCAACTCAAATGTGTGTTTACGTCTTTCATGAATATTGCTAATCTGTGGCTACTTTTGAACTCAAACAAGATTCATATTATCTGGCAGAATACATGTCATGGGGAGACTGTAAAAAAGGCATAAAAATAAGCTGCTTGGCGTTTACTAATGTACAAAGTGAAATAGCAGAATATCGTAATTTGCATTTCCATACATCACAATTACATGCTCATTTTACGGAGTAATTAAGGATAATATTTTGAAATGCTAACGAAGGGCATTTATTTATTTATTTATAAATAAGAGTAGTACAACCAAGCTATAAAACTGGTCCCTGTGTTATTTCATGTTCAGAGGCAATATCCCTTTGTTTACCAGATGCAGGGGACAAATTGCAGCGGATTCATGTTGCCTTCATATCCTGCTTCGTGAGTTTCTAAAGGCTGAGTGTTTAAAACAGAGTGCTAGATGAGATGGACTCTTGGTCTGATCCAGCAAAGCAGTTCTTATGTCCTTATAGCTTCAAATGTAGAAATGTTCAAAGGGGTTAAGCTGCCTTTCAGTCACTTATTTAAAAAGAACTTCCATAAAGTAAAAGGTATTAACTACCAAGTTCTCTCTCCCCCTCCCCCCGTTGAGATACCTACGGAACACACAAGAAAATGAAAATACCTTGACTGGCTTAAATGTATTTAAATTTCCTTTGTAGAACTGTGTTTCAACTGTTTGGGATTACAATCAAAATGAATTTGATGGTTCAGCTCAGTTTCCAGTAGATTACAGTCTGAATGCCATCTGCTTCATATTATGGCAAAATTGTGATCTGTTTCCAAATTTAGAGGTCCAGAACTGAACAAACAGAATAACTAAGATCCATCTTTTGATCACAAGAAGAAAAAAGAATGTGGGTGTTCAGACTTATATTCTCCAAAGAGAGGTGCTCTCCACTGTAAGCACCTGCTGTTTTGACAATGAATGACAATGGGGGTGGGGAAGTCTTTCTTTTAATCCCCTTTTTATTTTAACACATGCAAAGTATAGTAAAATGCCATACCACTCAACTGTCCCAATTTGAGTGGGACATCCCTGAATTGCAGAAGCCATGCTGGCTTCTGAGTGGATCTCAGAAAGTCCCGTTCTTTTGGTCCCGCACTCTTGGGCAAGTCACCAGCACCAGAAGACGCGCCTCCCTCTTTTCAGATGAGAGAGGCAGCTGCTGAGCAAGGGGGCAAGACGCCTCGAAGGCCACCATTGCACTGTGGAGAAAAGCACGCCTTTGCAAAAGATCCCGATGGTTCCCAGAATGTCCTTGGGGAGAATCTATTTGCCTATTGTTTGGCTGAGGGATTGCGATGAATGAAGCAGCCTTGGCGGCAGGGAAGCGCTGCCTTTTCTCTTGCCACCTTGTTAGTGGGAGAGGCCACGCTGGGTCTGGTGCCAGGAAGGGTGGTCTCTGCAAGGCTCCAGTTTCTTCCTCTGCTGCGGCTGGTTGTGCCCTTTGCCTCCTCTGAGCCCGAGACTGGCCAGGACTGGGAGCCACTGCTGCCTCCAGGGGAGCAGCACAAGCCATGGCTGCAGCACCCTGTGGTCCAGGGGCCAGAGCTGGTCGGGGGGGGGGGAGTACAATGCTAAGATGCACGTCTTTCAGTGCTGGGAGCCAAAATTGGCAATGCCAATGGTTTAAGGAGCTTTAAAGGGGTGTTAGACAAATTCACAGATGATTGGTCTAGCAGCACACCAAAGTCACAGACGAGGGTTGCTTCATAGTAATGGTCTTTGCTGAATTTGTAGTCCTTATACATTGTGAAATAAATCTACGGCCAGAACTTCATTTTCAAATGAGGCCATGATAGCTATAGGTAGAGTACATTCATGGCAAAAAGAATGAGTGCACATTTTATGGGAAATAGGACCTTCAAGATTTTTTTAAAGGTCTGTGATCTTGCCCTCAGTGATTTTTTATTTATTTTTGGCAGGGGGAGGTATCTAGCTACTGTAGTATTTGCAAGTTTACATTGACAACATCTATAAAGTCAGCCAGAATTCAACAAAATATGTGATTATGATTCAACTTTCATATACCAAATGTATAGACTGGGCATAGCAGTGGTTCTCATAGGGCAGTGTTTCTCTGGGTCACACTTTCAGAACAAAATTTTGCTTGTGCCACTCCATTTTTTTATTGATAAGAACTACATTTGAAAATAACAAAGAAAGCAACATCTAGAAAGTATAAAACAATGCAGCTACCTAAGGTGAATAATTACCAAAATATAATTATAAGCAAGTCTCTATCTACCTTAAGTATGTATACAATCTCAGCAAGAGGCGTGAGCTTGATTTGCTGGGTAATCTCATTTATATTAGGACTAAATTGAAACAAACAAACTCTCATCTCCTCACCAACACAAAGAAGCCTTTCTCTTTTCTGATCTTTCATATTTGTCAGAGTTGAAAATCCCTGTTCACAACAATATGTCATGGAGAACTGTAGAAGAATACAGTTCCATAGCCTGTTAAACAAACAAACAAACAAAAACAAACAAACAAACATGAAAGATACTGAGCTGTACCATACAACACTGAAATGTCTAAACGTTTCTTTGATTGTCCTTTGGTCTTCCTGCCACTCCAGTGTGGCGTGCCATGCCCTTTGAGGACCACTGCCCCAGGGTTTTGGAGACCCTGGCTAATATAGTAATTTGTACAGACAACAACATTTTTATTTATTTAGGGCTCATCTTTTTGTCCATGCTCCCATTTTGAACATGGTTTGTTGGTGGTGTTTTTTTTTGCCCCAGAGCTCAATCAGAGCAAATGCCAAAAAGGTGTTTTTTGGGGATTGCCATTTACTCCAACTGAGCTTTAAATAGCCGGTTCTGATAGGAAAATCATGGGCGGCGGGGGGGGGGGGGCAGTGTGTTCAGACACAGAGCTTTGAAGCATAGATAGTGCCTGCAAAGAGCAGAGAAAATGTAACTGTGAATAAGCCTTTCAGACTGCTTTGGGGACAAAAAAAAAAAAATTGGTTTACACCCACCCCCATGTCCTAGAAGTTAATTATTAGGAAAGAAAAATGAAGGCAAACATGTTATTTCAAATTGATATGGAGGCAGAAATTAGACAGTGGGGTACAGTGAAGAACTGGAAAGTTGGAGGGAGGTTAGAAAATGGTTTGATTTTGCAGAATATTATAAATTTGTAACTGCTGTTTTAAAAACAGATTTAAATGCATTTGTTGATTATCTTGTGTCACTTGGACAAATTCAGTTCTCACATTCTTTTTCTCAAGGTTAATGTATTTTAAACCAACATGCTTGTGAGTGCAGGACAACAGAAGGAACCTCCTAAAGTGGTGCAAGGGGGATGCAAATACTAGCAGCAGACCGCAAGGCGAGCCAGGTTGACACAGTGTGGATTCACTGAGCAAAATGCAACTCACACTAAGCCAAGCGCTTAGTCCTCTCAGGAGCTCAGTAAATCTCTTTTGCTGCCTTCCTGGGACTGCAAAAACAGAGGGCTTATGAAACACCTGGTCGGCAGGAATCCATAGCTAGTGAGGTGCTTTCAGCTTGGTAAATCACAAGTGGTGGATCACTCTGATATTGCATTGATATCTGTCATCATCCCCTGGACTCTGGGGAAATACAATACAGTGGTACCTCGGGTTACAGACGCTTCAGGTTACAGACTCCACTAACCCAGAAATAGTACCTCGGGTTAAGAACTTTGCTTCAGGATGAGAACAGAAATAATGCAGTGGCGGCGCAGCAGCAGCAGGAGGACCCATTAGCTAAAGTGGTACCTCAGGTCAAGAAAAGTGGTACCTCAGGTTAAGAATGGACCTCTTGAACAAATTAAGTTCTTAACCCGAGGTACCACTGTAGTACAGAAACAAGGAGCTAGACAGAAAGACGAGCATCAGAAATGCACTATTCCTTAGCAGTCTGCACCTGAAGCTCCACAGTACAGAAGAAGGTAGATACTTTTACGTGCCTGTTTAATGTCTGCCATATTCCTTCCAAGGGGGAAACAGTTTCTTGCCAATGTCTAATGGTATAATCATTGACACATAAAAATCTGACTGCTAGGTGACAAACTGCTCAGGGTATCTTTGCAAAGAAGTACAACATGCCTGTCATTTTCTTTCACATATCACTCTTCACAATGAGGAGGAAGCTAGTATCAGCAAGAATTACTGAGTTACTATAGTTGGCATCTGTCTGTCTTGGGAGACCATGAAGGAGTGCACATTCGGGGGTGAAGTCAAACCATTGGAGAGTTACAGCGCCTGCTGTGGCTGGAGAGACCAATACAGGAAAGACATGCTTTATTGCAGGTGGGGCCCATGAAAGTGTCTGGCTTTGCTGTTACAGATGCACCATGGCGTTTCTTCTCTCTGTGCTCCTCCAGTGCTCATTTCTACTCGGGTCACTGCTGTGGATACACAACCTGAATGCCTGTCTCCAGGCTCTGTAATCACCTGCAAGTGATTTCAATATGGCAGGGTTAGTGTTGTCAGCCTTCATGCCACGTTTGCAGGCATCTGTGTAACTATTGCGTGTGCAATAAAAGGGTGTATCAGGATGAACCACTAAACGTTGCTGATACATTATTTTGTCTTCTTGGCCAAGCAAGCTAGGACTGGACTGAATACAGACCCTGGAGCGTGACAACATGGGGCTAAGTTAGCACTGAGCAGGAGGACAGTGGTAGCCCTGAAAGAATGGAACAAAACACAGCAGCTCAGGTGGGGATGCGGAGGAAAACAGGGCAAGCAGTGGCCCCACGATTTCTGGGGATAGGAGTGTTACCCAGAAATCAGGTGATGGGTTGTGGGCATGGTGTTTTTTCAATAGCACCTCATAAAAGGCTGATTAGTAGAAGCAGGGTGAAGGAAGGCCTAGACTTGGTCACTGCAATCTCCTGGCACCCAGAAAGACCACTGTGTAAAGCAGGGATAGGGAACCCCCAAGCTCAGGGGCCAAATGCAGCCTGCTTATGTGGCCCTCAGAACTCTCCTCCTGCCACCCCCGCTCCCCAGGGGCCAAGCCAAAGGAATGCACACGACAGAGATTTAACTCTTTATTGTCAAAGATAACACAGTCGCATCTACAGCTCTGGATACCCATGCACACCAGTCTAGTGCCTAGGCAGCTATTCACAGCAACAGGGGATTACCCCCCTGCACCAGTTTATGTACCACCCCCACCCCCACAATGGGCTGCACACACAAAGCCAGAGACAACGCCTGCGTGGAAGCTGCTCCTCCTCTACCCGCTGACACCCTCTCCTGCTTCTGGGAGATGGAGGTGCTTTGCCCACTTTTGCCGCTGGCCCTGTGCACCCCAGGCATGCGCCCTCCAAGGGGATGCACCCCCGTGGAAGAGGATCCCAGGGGACAGCCAACCCTACTTCAGGGACCAAAGGAGAGACCTCTCCATGAGGCAAAATGCCTTGCCCTTAATTTGGTTTCACTTATCACAACCATTGTTCCTGGAGGTAATTAGCATCCTTCGTTCTACACAGGACACATGCTGAAATGATGGTGAGGGCCTATATATTTGCGTAACAAATGAGACCTTTTATCTGTGCTGTGAACAACTAAGTCAAATAGGACCAGTTATTGCCACACAGTGGAGGAAGAAGTCCCTGGGAGCAGCTAGTGCTGTGAGTGCAATGAACAGCTAACAAACAATTTCAGCAGAAGGGAAGCAAACTCACAGAAGCAATGCTACCTCCTAAAAGATAATCTGTTCTCACAAGCAACCCCAATCCCTCAAGGCTGCTTCTTGCCAGTCAGCTGCAGAAACTCATACTTTTTCTCTGGCCAGACACAAAGCTGCTGGTGCATACCCTCCCAAACAGAAGATGGGACCCAGCCAGCTCCCCCCCCCCCCCAGCATGGATGTGTGACTGGCATTCCTAGCGGTCTGTGATTGTGTGTGGACCAGCCGTCTTTGTTAGTTAGTTGACAAACCATAGGACATCATGGAGTTCACAGCCATAATTATTCACACAAAATAATAATTAGCCATGCTTACAGCTAACACTGGCAAACAGCTGGTTAGCCATTTCCAGGTTTACTTGGATGTGGTTGCTGGTTAGCATCATCTTTAGAGCTCACCTTGTCATGTGCCTGTGGTGAAATTACGGCCTGCCTTTCCTCTGCCCTCGCGGTCTGGTCTTCAGGTGGGCCTTGTACTTTACAAAAGAACAGCATACAGATTCTGGTTGGCATTCAATATGCATTAGGCATT